CTGTAGTTTGCAGCCCAACCCCCTCTCCCAGAGAAAATCTGGAGCTTCATTGCAATGGGCCCCTCCATTCCTCCACCTCTCCTGCAGATCTGAATAGCAACCTATCCCATATGAGGGTTTTTACAGTTGTTTTTCCCAATCCCTCCTCCCCTGTTTTTTCCTACCTCCTCCTTTACCTCCAGGTAAACTCGGGGGCCAGGACTCTTTTGAGAGCATAGAGAGCTACGATAGTTGCGACCGCCTCACCCAGTCCTGGAGCAGCCAGTCATCTTTCAACAGTCTGCAGCGTGTCCCCTCCTATGACAGCTTCGACTCTGAGGACTATCCGGCTGCCCTACCCAACCACAAGCCCAAGGGCACCTTCAAGGACTATGTGCGTGACCGTGCTGACCTCAACAAGGACAAGCCTGTCATTCCTGCTGCTGCCCTGGCTGGCTACACAGGTAGGCACTCTGCTCTTTCCTAGGCAGGCTGTCTGCACATTTGTATGGGGGTGGGGGTGGGGGTCAGTGGAAGGCACTGTACTGTCTACCCAGAAACCAAAGGACACACTCTTTCTTTTTGGTGGAGTAGAAAAAGATGTCTCTAAGAGATTGTCAGTCTCTCAAACTACCCTGCTTGTGAGTAACCATTGATTTTTGGAGGCAAATAATATTCTATTCCAAAGGGACATTTTTAAGACTGCCCGGAAACTTATATTTTTGGCCTTTTCCATATCTAGGGGAAGGGAGCTATAATGATTTGGTGTTCCTGGAAACTTGGTCTAGTGGCCTGGCATCAAGGGACATCTTTTGGCCTGCTCTTGGGAGGTCTTTTTAAATACAAAACCAGCAACTGCCTTTCTCAAAGGCATAATTGAATGGCTTACAAGCCAGGCTGTGTGGTAGTACAGTTATCATTAGGCTAGCTGTTCTAATGTGGGAAACGTATTCTTTTGGGCCTTAAACATTGTCCAGATCCATCCTGAACTTACATAGAAAGCCTTATTTTCTCACTTAGCTTTATGGTTGATTTTTTTTCCCCCAGTAGTGAAAGCTATAATTATAGTAGCAGTGAGTGAAGAAAGAGGGCAGAAAACAGAAGATATACATTGCAAGCTTGGGCTTTGATTGAAAATCTAGTAATAGAGCAGAGCAGTTGATTGTTCAAATGGATTGTATAGCACATAAGCTGCCTACTCTGGGAAATAGTGAAGAGTCTATCTGAGAAATGTCCAAGGAGTGTTGGTTAATGTGTTGCTCATTCCAATCCTTTCTGTAAGATTGCAGTGTTTTCTAAAATGTGTCGTATTGTGGGTGGAGCTTGTTTTAGGCTTTGATGACTCAGATGTGGTCTAGGCCTTTATTCTCTTTATTCTCTGTCCAGGGTAGGTATCCTCTACCCTGGACAGGTTATAGTGTTTGGACTCTGTGATAGAAGACAGCAGAATCTGTGCTTCTATGGACATATCTGTCTGATCTTAACTAAGAGAGTACTAAGTCCCTGTTGTGCAGGAAGTCTCAGGATTTGTCCAAGGAAGTCCTACTTATCTTTGAGAATAAAACTCAAACACTTAGATAAATTACTCCCCCATTAAGGATCAAGTGTACGTTACTTATTTTCCTTCCATAAAGAACCCAGTGTGGTGTGGTTGGACAGTGCTCAGGAATTGTGTAACCCAGATCTATATACAGAATCACAGGTGAGGAAGGATCCCCTCTTCATTCTTTCTAAAATATCCCCATGGTCTTTGCTTGCACCTGGCTAATAGGTAGGGATTACATTTCAAGAGAGTCTTCTCCTGTCTCTGGATAGCAGATTTTTATAGAGTTTACCCTATTTTCATTAAAGACATCTGGAATGAGGAAAAGTATATTGTGTGTTTCTCAGGTTGTACCAGAGTGCCAGTGCCTGTAGGTAGAATTAGACTCTGGTGGGATGCACTGATGGAGGAGAGAAGGGACAAGTGTCGCTTAATTGGAAAGAGAAGGAAAAACCCAAGGTAGTTCTAAAATGATTGACAACACCATTGCTCTCTCTCCCCTCCCTCTTTCCCTTCCTTCCTCCCTCCATTCATCCATCCATTCCTTCCTTCCTTCCTTCCTTTCTCCTTCCCTCCCTCCCTCCCTCCCCACTAGCAATTAGGGGGTAAAACAGTCAGTGAGTAGAAGAGAGGTAAGTTTATGAGCATTTAGAAGGCTTAAAGACTGAAGCAGCCATTTGAATTTTGTTTTTTAAAGTAGTTTAAGTATCTGACCCTTCTGTTGTTTCTTCTTTATAGTTGGGGGTTTAACTTTGCAGACTCTCTCAAATGGTGATGAGAACAATAGCCCAGAAAACAGAAGTCCTCTGTGCTCCCTCCCGGCTCTAACACACTGGGTGATTTTAAGCAAATTCACCTTGTACCCTGTTTTTCTTTTAGTGTAATGGAATTGTTCATCCTTATCTTGCTGGTAGGAGATGTGTGAGAATGTAGTTGAACCAAATCAATTAATTAAGCAAATGAGTGCTAGACAGTGTGCTAGACATGGGAGGAAAATCCCCTATTCATAACAAATAAATTATTTCAGCAAATGAGCACATGTTGAGTGCAGATAAACCAGTATCCCTCAACGGCTAGTTGTCCTGCAGAATTCAGGTTATTGTGAATGTCCTTATACTCAAACTGGGTTCTCTTATTGTTGCAGTCTGAATGAAGGTTGGGGTGTGTTAGGTGTGTGGGAGCAGCCCCAATTTTGGTATTTTTACTATGTATTCCATGTCTGCTTAACACCCACTGTCTGTACCACAGGCCAAAGTACATGGTGGTTCCCAGATCTTGTTCCCTCATTGAAGCCCCTTCTTATTTAAGATGCATCCTCCTAGGGAATGGAGAAGAGGATGGAACATAACCATTCTGCCCTTCTCCCCACCAAACACAATCATGAAGATGCCTACAAATGGGTGTCTGGCTTTATGTAAACATGTTAAGATGAGGTGAAATTTGAAAAAGTCCTTTGTAAAATGGAAATCATGGTGCAAGTGGTGGAAATACTTTTTTTCTTGTTCATAAGAGTTACACATATTTTCTATCTCAGGTTCTGTCCTTGTTTTCTATTTTACATTTTGATTGTTCCAAAGTATGCATGACCACTCAGGATGAAGTAAAGGGTAGATGTTTAGTCTCAGACCTAGGAAAACTCCATGTTCCTACCCTTAGACTATAAACCAAGCTTTTGCCTATATCACCTTAAAAAAAGTACATTTTACTTCTTTATATGATGTCTTAGTTACTGCACTGTAAGTGTGAAAATCAGTTACAAACTGAATTTTCACATTCTCTTGCACTGTTACATTCTTTCTCCAAAGATAAGAAAATTGCATCAACCTTCACTGGGCTCCCATGGCAACTTGTTAAATTAGGTCAAGATGTGGGGGCAGATAACATGGCTTGAAAGCCTGCCTGTTAGCTGAGTTAAGAATACATCAAATGCAGTGTTGGCTTCCGCCAAAATGTACCTCCTTACCTTACTGTGAACTGCTTACAGTTATCAAACTGATACAATCAGAAAGCTCCATTTTCTCTTGTTCAAAGATACATTCTGAACTCCTTCTAATTACAACACGGTTTGAGAGAAGCAGCCCAGTGTTTTCTATATGTTTTATAGACCTTAGTAAAATGCTTTCCTGATCCTTGAGAAACATAAGCCTCTCTGATTCTTTTTTTTTTTTTCTATTTCAGTAGGAATCAAGCACGCTCCCTTTTTTCTCTCACCTTCCATCCCCATTTATAGATGGTGAAACTGAGGCACAAAGATTTATTCTAGGCTATGAAATTTCATTCTATAAGAAGGTAGAAGGTAGCTCCAGAATTGAATCTCAAGGGCCAGAGTCTCAATTGAATACAAAATCTGTTCTCCTTATTAAAGGATCAGAGAATACTCCTTGAATCTGTCTGTTGCTTCCATGGAGGGATGAGAACCTCGTCTCCATCTTGTCACTAACACACACTGTACACATGAGGGTGTGTGGGAGAGGGTAGAGCGAGCCTTTGGCTTTGGTCCAGAGTTACTGTACTGTGAATCCCCTTTATTGAACATCACTCCAGATGGCCAGACATAACCACAGATAAGGGTCCGTTCCTACCATGTCTGCTGTTGTTAACATGTGGGTCTGGTGGAAAGGCCCTTGTTAAGGTCTAGGTGTATCCCCACCCTTTGAGTTGCAGTTATAAATGAAGTGGTTTTCTTTTTACCTGGAGCCCTGTAAAAGGCCAAGCCCAGAGACATTCACTGTCATGGAATTGTGTTTCATTGTGTAGTATGGATTTTTATAAACAGATAGTCTCTCAGTTTAAGAGTAAATTGGGATATTTAGGATTCAAGTTCCAAGTTGTGTGTGTGTGTGTGTGCACATGTGTGTGCACGTGTGTGTGCACGTGTGTGTGTGCACGTGTGTGTGTGAGAGAGAGATCACATAAAAATTAGCACTTTAGAAAAGTTTTGTGTTTTTGAAAATTTAAGACTTTGTAAATAAATCCTTTTGCACTTAGACAGAAAATTAACACTCTAATAGAAAAAGAAAAAGAAGCCTCATACACTCCCCCTGAATATCTCAAATTGCTACTGCCCTGAAATAAACTTGCTTCTTGCCGTTTCTAGATGGCACGGGAGCTAATCTAAAGTCACACAATAAGAAAGTCTCCAGGCAAAGAGCAGAACCTTGGAGTTCTAACTTGTAGTTGAGTTTTAGATGTTAGCAATCCAAATCTACTGCTAAAACATGCTTTTGAAAATAAACAAGTTTACTGCAAAAAGAAGTACTTCCAAACCCTTCAATTGAGAATGCAGCCTGAGATTTGGCAGCATTACATACAATCACAGTTTTCTGAAGGAAAGCTGAGTTGCAAAATAATCTCAATGTACTAGTCATTTGAACTAGAGTACAAATGACTGAGAGAGCTTTTGGTAGTAAACCTAGATAAGGAAAGGTAAGAGGGGTCCCCAAGGCAAGCTACTAGGGCATTGCAAATTTATGTAGATTTTAAATGTTCTATATGCGTGCGGCTATGTTATTAGGGCCAATGCAGAGCTTTTCAGTTTGGAGGGATTATTGGAGCCAGCCTTTAGAATACAAAATCTCTCCATACAAAGGGTGTTGTTTATAAGACAATATGAGTTAAGTCAAGAGAAGGGCCAACTTGCTCATATGAGAATAGAACTCTAGTGCCCAGTCTGTGTAGTAGCCACCATTTCAGAGGCCCAGAGGAAGTTAGGTGACTTCTTTGGGCCAGGTGAGGCTAGGGCTAGCTCACAGCCTTAGGGAATCCGTCAGTCTCAGTGCTGAGCACCTGGATGGATAAGAGAAAAAGAGCTTGGAAATGAGCAAGGCAGAAACAGAGCATCTTTCTTCACTTACTCAAGAGGCCATTGTGGGTAGCAGGTTGCAGGAAAGCCAGCCAGATCCCTCAGCTTAGACAGATCCT